GATTATTTTTTAAGTGGAAGGGGATAGAAGTAGGGCTTCTTGAAGATGGGGTGTTTGAACTGAGCCTTGGAAGATAGATGTTATCTGGATCTTAAAAAATGAGGTGGGAAGACAAGATTCAAACAGTTCTGTTTCTGTTTTGGCACCTTAGCGTGCAAACACAGAACGGAACTGAATCCTCTCTAAGGTCATTTGATTGATTCCTCCTTACCATAAACGATGCTGTATAACAAATTACGCCAAAGCTCAGTGACCTCAAACAACAACCATATATTGTTGCTCACAGGACTACACACCAGTCAGGTGGTTTCTCTGGCCTTGACTGTGCTGACTCATGTATCTCTGGTCAACTGGGGCTGAGCTGGGCAGCTCTGCTGAACTTGGCTGGGCTCCCTCCTATCCTTGGGGCTTGGCTTTCTGTCAGCTGTCTAGGATTACCTCAGTTCTTCTCCACAAGTCTTATCTTCTGCCTGCCTCTAACATCTTTCTAGCATACTAGGCTGGGTTTGTTCTCGTAGAGGAGGCAGAAGGACAAGAAATAAGTGCAAAAGAGTACAAGTCTCTCGAAGCTTGGACTCAAGCTGGCACACTGTCACTTCTGCCTCATTCTTTTGGCCAAAGCAAGTCACAGAGCCAGACCAACTTCAGTAGGTGGGGAAAGAGACTCCACTCTTGATGGGAGGAGCTGCACAATCACTTTGCAAAGGGCCTGGGATGGAGGATTGAAACCACTTTCACAATCTACTATAGTCATCCTGAGAAATCGTCCTAAACTCTCTAGAATGAAAGAAATTCAAATGCATTGTTTCTCAAGCTAAGCCAAGGCCTTTGGAGAAATCTACATGTGATAAACCATTTGGAAAATGTACAGCGACCCATAAACCAGAGTTATGAGAAGCCAGGCTTATAAAATAGTCTACAGTCTTCTTTGTGAGTGAAAGACAAAAGAGGAGTATTTCAGGGCAACTTTATTACCTTTACTCATGTGGTACTTATTATATACTCACCCTTCAACACCCAGCCCCAGTGCCCCTCTGCAAAACTGTTCCCAGAACCATTCTTCTGGCTTCTGAGAATTTGTAGTTCTTCTCCCAGGTCCCAGTAGCAGTTTTTGAAATGAAATGATCTCCAATCTGGCCTGTGTCGTAGACATAAATCATTGTCTTTATGATATTCCCTGCAGTACCTAACGTAAGGCCAAAAAATAGTAGCTGCACAATAAACATGTATTAGATGAATGGACAGATGGATGAATGGATGAGTGAGTGGACAGATGGGTGACAGATGCTTCAGAAATTGACTGAAACCTTCCTTTGGAAAATGTTAACATAAACTTCATTTCCCTCCTTCCAAGTTAGTATGTCAGTTTGAAATCTTGGTGTAGTTGTTTGATGTCTATGTGCTTTTTTAAAACAAAATAAAACTGAATTGCACGTTGCCAAGAGGAGGAATCATGTTATATTCTCCCTCATCAACCCAATCCCTATAACCATCAAAAAAGTCTGTGAGTTTCCTAGGGCATTAATCATTGTCTAGTGGGTGGGGGTAGATGAGTGGTTGTCGGGGTGGGGGACTTCTAGTCAAATAAACTTGTGAAATGCTGGATTAAACAAAGTTAAGACAGCTTTCTTTTCTGTGTGACTTCAAAGAGCCTTTAATATGCTAATATACATTTGAATCACCAGAAGGATATTAGAATATGTAAGAGTTGAAAACAAGAAGAATTGGCTTTTTTAGAGAGGAGGAGAAGGGAGGTATTTTTTTTATTGTGCTAAAATGAATATAGTAGTTGTCATTTTAACCATTCACAAGTGTACAATTGTGTGGCATTAAATATGTTCACAATGCCATGTAACCATTACCACTATCTATACCCAATTTTTTAATGATTCCCCACAATAATTCCCTGTAAACAGTAATCCCCGTTCTTACTCCTCTGTAACCTCTATTCTACTTTCTGTCTTTATGAGTTTGCCTATTCTAGGTACCTCATGTAAGTGGAATCATACAATGTATGACCTTCTATGTCAGGCTTGTTTCACTAAGCATAATATGGTCAAGGTCTATCCATGTTATAGTATATATCAAAATTCCATTCTTCTTTATGACTTAATAATATTCCATCGTATATATATGTCACATCTTGTTTCCATCTTCATCTGTTAATGGACACTTGAGTTGCTGCCACCTTTTGTCTATTGTGGTAATGTGACTATTAAGAATATTGGCCTAGGAATGTCTGTTCCAGTCTCTGCTTTCAGTTCTTTTAGATACATACCTAAAATGGAATTGTTGGATTATATGGTAGTTCTACATTTAACCTTTTGGAAACCACAAAACTTTTTAACAGCAGCTGCACCATTTTGCATTTTTACCAGCAGTGCACAAAGGTTTCAATTTCTCCACCCACATCCTCACTAACACTTGTTGTTTTCCACTTTTTAAATTATAGCTAGCCTAGTAGGTGTAAAATGATATTTAATGGTAGGGTTTTTTGTTGTTGTTTTTTTGCCTTTTTGTTTTTTTGTCTTTTTTTGAGATGGAGCTTTGCTCTTGTTGCCCAGGCTGGAGTGCAATGGTGCGATCTCGGCTCACTGCAACCTCCGCCTCCTAGGTTAAAGTGATTCTCCTGCCTCAGCCTCCCGAGTAGCTGGGCTTACAGGCACGCACCACCACGCCTGGCTAATTTTGTATTTTTAGTACAGACAGGGTTTCACCATGTTGGCCAGGCTGGTCTTGAACCCCTGACCTCAAGTGATCCACCCGCCTCAGCCTCCCAAAGTGCTGGGATTACAGGCATGATACACTCCACCCAGCTTAATGGTAGTTTTGATTTGCCTTTCCCTAATGACTAGTAATGGTGAATTTATAAAAGTTCTTTTTTTTTTTTTTGAGACCGGGTCTCACTCTGTCCACTGGAGTATAGTGACATTGTGTACTTGGCTCACTGCATCCTCAAACCCCTAGACTCAAGCAATCCTCCCAGCTCATCCTCCCAAGTAGCTGGGACTATAGGAATGTGCCACCACCCCTGACAAAATTTTTTTTTTATTTTGTTTTTTTAGAGATGAGGTCTCACTGTATTGCCCAGGCTGGTATGAGTTCTTTATGCAGTCTGAATATGTCCTTAATCGAATATGTCCTTAATCTAATATGTGTTTTGCACAGTATGGAAGTTCCTCAGAAAGCTAGAAATAGAACTGCAATATAATCCAGCAATCCAGCAATCCCACTTCTGGGTATATATCCAAAGAAAAGGAAATCAGCCTGTCAAAGAGTACAGCCTGTCTGTACTCCCATGTTTATTGCAGCAAGATAAGGAATCCACCTAAATATCCATCAACAGATAAATGGATAAAGAAAATGTGGTATATATACAAAATAGAATATTTTTCAGCCATAAAAAAGAATGAAATTAAGTTATTTGCAGCACCGTGGATGAAACTGGAGGTAGTTATGTTAAGGGAAATAAACCAGGCACAGAAAGACAAATACCGCATATTCTCACTCATATGTGGGAGCTAAAATAGTTGACCTCATAGAAGTAGAGAGTAGAATAGTGGTTACTAGAGACTGGGAAGGGAAGGGGTAGGGGAGATAGGAAGAGGTTGGTTAATGGATACAAAATTACAGCTTAGATAGGACTAAGTTCTAGTGTTCTATAGCACTGTAGGATGACTATAGTAAACAATAATGTATTTTTTCAAATAGCTAGAACAGAGGATTTCGAATGTTCCTAACACAAAGAAGTGATCAAGGTTTGAGGTGATGGATATGCTAATTACCCTAATTTGATCATTATACATTATATGCAGGTATCAAAATATCATTCTGTACCCTGTAAGTTTGTACAATTATTATGTGTCCATTAAAAATATTATTTTAACGGTGGCTCACACCTGTAATCCCAGCACTTAGGGAGACTGAGGCAGGCGGATCACGAGGTCAGGAGATAGAGACCACCCTGGTTAACACGGTGAAACCCCGTCTCTACTAAAAATACAAAAAATTAGCCGGGCGCAGTGGCGGACGCCTGTAGTCCCAGCTACTCGGGAGGCTTCGGCAGGAGAATGGCGTGAATCTGGGAGGCAGAGCTTGCAGTGAGCCAAGATTGTGCCACTGCACTCCATCCAGCCTGGGCGACAGAACAAGACTCCGCCTAAAAAAAAAAAAAATTATTTTAAAAGATACATGTTTTGCAAATATATTCTCCCAGTCTCCCAGTTCATGGCTTGTCCCTTAAACAACAAAAGTTTTTAGTTGTGATGAATTCTAACTTATTCATATTTTAATGCAGTTTGTGTCCTCTATAAGAAACCTTTGCCTAAACCAAAGTCACTAAGATTTTCTCACATACTTTCTTCTACAAATTTTATAGTTTTGGCTCTTACGCTTAGGTCTATGATCTATTTCAAGTTTATATCGTGTAGGGTGTGAGGAAGTGTGGGGTGTATTTTTTTGACATATGAATATCTAATTGTTTGGACATTATTTGTTAAAAAGATTATCCTTTACCTATTGAATTTTCTTAGCACCTTTGTTCAAAAACAACTGAATGTGTATTGTGTGAGCTGTCCACTCCATTGATCACATATCTGTCCTTACCTTACAGCCACTCTTTCTTGGTCACTGTATCCCAGGAGTGCCTTGAAATTAGGACATGTAAGTCCTCCAACCTTGCCCCTCTTTTGAAACAGAATTATTTTGGCTATTTTTCCAGGTCTGTTGAATATCAGTTTCTATAAAGAATGCCTTGAGTCGATCGATCAATTTTGAGAGGACTCACATTTTAACAATATTGAGTCTTCTGACCAATAAACATGATGTGTCTCTCTGTTTATTTAGATCTTTGATTTCTCTAGCAGTGTTGTAGTTTTCAGTGTGTAGGTCTTATACATTTTGTTAAATGTATCTCGACTATTTGATATCTTTGACACCATGGAAATTGGTATTTTAACATCAGTTTTCAATGTTTCATTGATAGTATTTAGAAATAAAATTGATTTTTATATGTTGACCTTATATGTTGCTAAACTCATTAGTTCTACTAGCTTTTTTGTAGATTCCTTAGCATTTCTTATGTAGATAATCGTGTCATGGGCAGATATTATTTTGATCCCCATTCTACCATCAAATAATGGAGGCCTGGAAAGACAAGGGGACCTGCCTAAGGTCCTACTCTTCATAAATGCACAGCCAGGAATCTGAAGCCTGTGTCTTTCGGGTCCTCCTTCAACGACCTCTCCACACCGTAAGCTATTCCTCAGTCTTTCAAGCCTCAAGAGAAGAAGCTTATATCAGTTACGATTATATTTGAATGGTTCAAACAAGATAGTGTATTTTCCTGTCACTTCAAAGTCTGGAGGTTTTAACTCCAGGACTAGTATCACAGTTCTGCCCCCTGAAGTCCTCAAGAACCTGTACTCCCTGCTGATGGCTTCAGCCATCCCTAGAGCGTGGAGCTGCACCTCATGGTCCATCATAGTGGCCTTTGCATTCTAGGCAGCAAGACAGAGGAAGGGATAAACAAGAAAGGCAAAGGTGCACATTAGTAATTTTTTCTGGTAAGTTCCATGAGGCTGGGTCTTAACCTGTTTTGTGCTATAGTAACAGATGCCAGAAACTGGATAATTTATAAAGAAAAGAAATGTATTTGGTCACAGTTTCCGAGGCTGGGAAGTCCAAGATCAAGGGCAGCATCAGGTGAGGGCTTTCTTGCTGCCACATAAGGTGGTAGAAAGCATCACATGGGTGAGAGAGATGGATGGGACCAAATTCATCCTGTAAGGGCCCTGCTCTCACAGTAATTAACCCACTCCCTCCATAACAGCATTAATCCATTCATCAGGGTAGAGCCCTCATGAGCTAATCACATCTTAAAGGTTCCACCTCCCAATACTGTTGCACTGAGGATTCAATTTCTAACACACAAACTTTGGGGAACATGCTCAAACCATAGCAGGCTACCATGCAGCTCCTCCACTCACCTCTCATTGGACAGAACCAGTCAGGCCACATCTAGCTACAAGGATGTCAGGAAAATATCATCTTTATTCTGAGCAATCATATCCCAGCTAAAATTCTTATTTCTGTGGAAGAAAAGGAGAACAGCTCCTAGGGGATATACAGCAATTTCTGCCACAAGCCTTAGTTAGGAATCCAGAAAGGAAACCGTTTGAAAATGAAAGAAGGAAGAAGGTGGAAGAGTTCAAAGCCTGTTGCATCTTTTTAAAAATTATTTTAGGATCAGGTGAGTCAGCTCTCCTTTGAGTTTTGTCAGCCCATTAAGTTGACCTGAAGCCATTTAGTCATAGGATAAAGTCAATTCTCAGAACCCTTTTATGGTATCAAATCTTTGTGACTATATTAGACATGTCTAATCCATGGATGACCTTTCCTTCATCTGGAAAAGATAAAAGATGTCTCCACTCATTCATTCATTATTCATTCATTCAACAGAAATTGATGTCTTCTCATAGAGCTCACAATTTGCGGATAGACAGACAATAGTCAAATGATCATCCAAATGAATGTGAAGTCACAAAGGAGCAGTGAGGATGCTGTAAGTTCCCATATCAGGGGGCGTGATCTAGCCAGAGGGGTCAGGGAAGCTTGCCTGAGGGTTTCGATGATTGCTACAGGAGTATCTGCATTCACAGCAGTTTGCTGTGGTCTGGGAAGACTGTCCTGTGTGCTCTCTTGTGGTTGCACCTCACATATCCTGCCTGGGACACCATATAGCTGAGAAATCATTACATAAGAACAAGAGAGGCTGGGAATGATGGTGCACACCTGTAATCTCAGCACTTTAGGAGTCCCAGGTGGGAAGATCGCCTAAGGCCAGGAGGTTGAGACCAACCTGGGCAACATAATAAGACCTTGTCTGTACAAAAAGAAAAAAGAAAAAAGCCAGGTGTGGCGGTACATGTACCTGTAGTCTTAGTTTCTTGGGAGGCTGAGGCAGGAAGATTGCTTGAGCCCAAGAGGTCGAGGCTGGAGCTGCAGTGAGCTATCATCATGCTACTGCAAGCCAGCCTGGGCAACAGAGCAAGATCCCATCTCTTAAAAAATAAATAAATAAAAACCAAGAATGCCAGAGTGAGAGTGAGGTGGGATAGGTAAGGGGCTGGGTGCTGCCCAGGAGATTCAAAGCCGTTTGTGGCCTCCACCCTAAGAGAAGCAAAGAAGAATTCAGAGAGTTCTCAGTTTCCAAGATGGGAGATGGAGAAGGCCAGGATCATTGTCCAGGCAGAGACTGTCCTCCTGGGCCAGGAAGGAGTTCAAAGAGGAGGGGACTACCATCAGTCACATGTTGCTTCCCCATGCCCTTACCCCTCTCCCCTTCTTGGGGGACCTTTGCAAGCAGTGAGCAGCCAGCCAGCCCAAAGAGCCAAGATTGTAGAAATCAACCAGTGGGTCACTGTCTACCAGGTATACTTGGAAATTCACTCTTCCAGCTTAAGGCAGCTGTGGCAGATGGGTCCTGTCCCCTGACCAACGCCAGCTGATGGGTAAGCACTGCTTGGAGTACAGTATTGAGAAAGATTCTCAAAGTCTGGAATCCACAAGGAAGAATATTACAATAGATTGGTAATGTCTGCTTTTGCCCTGGTGCAACTGAGAGGAAGGAATTGGACATAAATATAAAAATGCTTTGTAAATTATGAAATACTACCAAATAGTAACTAATAATGGTAGCTAGCATTGCTAGTGCTTCCTAGATACCAAACACTGCTAAGAGCTATACTTGCTGCATCTCATTTAATCTTCATAATAACCTTTATGCTAGGAACTATTAATTTCCCCATTTTATAGTTGGGGAACCAAGGCTTGTGAAAAATAGTGTAACTTGCTCAAGATCACAGAGCTAATAAACAGAACTGTGGCACAAGCCTAGGCCTTTCCAACGCCAAAACAGATGGTCTTATTCACTCTGGTTTGCTGTCTTCAGAATGTAGGGGATTATGATTATAATTATTACTATTATTAGAGCAACTACTTTATTACTGGGTGGCTCAACCCTACTTACCCAGCTAGGAGACTAATAGGATATGTTTGCAGTCATTTTTTATTCTCTCTCTGAAAAGTAGGAACTTGCCTTCTGATGAGCTTTCCAGTCCCTTTTTTTCTTTTTTCCCATCCACAGCTGCTGTGCAGAGCAGTATTGCAGCCCTCGCTCCTGCCCAGCCCGTCAAGCCTCTAAGAAGGGCACTTTCTAGGGGCTTTCCTGTGATTGATCACACATCAGCTAGACTGAGATTTTCAGAACCTCTTGTGAATTGCCCTCTTGGTACAGAAGTATGATTCATCTCACCATGTTTTCCTTATTTGAGAACTATGTTCCTGCAGCCTTTCTAGATACTGAGTTTGGGAAGGAATGGGCAGGTACATGTGGTAGGTGCTATTAGCTGTGATGATTACACTCATGTGGTGGCTGGCAGTTTGCAAAATGCTTTCATTTGGATTTTCTCTCCAAGCCTCAGTTTTGTCATCTACAAAGTGGATATAATGATGATAATAATATAGTCAAGTCTAATCTCATGAAAGAGTTAGGCTATAATAAACTTACCACTTAAGGTGAAAATAACACAAAATCAGAATCACCCTTGACAATCGCCCATGGAATATGAAGACACACCACCTCTCAAAAGTCCAGTTTAGGCAGTTTTCACTCCAGCATGAACACCAATGATGACTGTTTCTTTGGTTGAAGTAATCACAGTGCCCTCTGAGGTAGTGAAAATACTTATCTTCCTAGAGTAGGCTCCCCCAGCACAGAGCCCTCACGCTCCCAGGGACCGGAGAGAACTGGGGCCTCCAGGGACTCTGTGAGGGCACAGGCACACTCTACATGAGCACGGGAGCCTCGCCACCACCCCTCTAGGATTTCTCTCTTCTTTCTTGACTATGTGTCACTGAATTCTAGAAGGTGAAATAGATACAAAATCTTATCTCATTAGGTCTGATTTCCTGACTTGCTTTCTATGGACAGTATTGAAACTTAAAAGTAACATGTGATGACACAGATACTAGGCTAGGTGAGGGGAGAGCTGGGCTCAGGTCCCAGGTAGGTTTCACCTGCATCTGTGGGACTATGGATATCCAGATCTTACAGATGAACTTCTCACCTGACTAAGTTCTCAGGCTGTATTTTTGACTCAAACCCACAGGACTCTAGTAACCCTATTTTTAAAAAATCTGTATGTGCCCACCCCCACTTCTGCCTTCCCAGCACAAGCTAGCATCATCTCTGCCTGCACCACTGTAATAGCCTCCTTCCCGGCCTCCAGCCCTCCTCTTGGCCTCCTAATCCCTTTTCCACTTGGCTACAAGAGAGCTTTCCAAATGCAACCTGATGTTATCACCTCCTTATATAAAACACTTGTGTTTCTAAATGCTCCTGGAGGAAAGAGAATCCTCACCCCTGCCTACCTCTCCTTCCTGCCAGACTTTCCCTGCTTCTCTGTGCACCACACACACTGCTCTTCCAGGCCCTCCTATGATTCGTGTTTGCTCAGCCACAGAGTCTTTGTATGTCTTTACTTGTCCCTCTGTCTGGAATGCTCTGTACTCCTCTTTCTACTGAGTTAACCTCTAATCCAATTTTCTCAAGAAAGCCTTGCAGACTGGATCAGATCCCCCCCAATCTGATCTGAAAGAAAGGGACTCTCTTTGTACCATGTACCACTCTTTTATGGCCTGCCACTGTAGCTTTTTTAATTTACCTGTAGTTTCGGATGAAAGTCTACATTTCCCCCCCACCACACATACTTCTATAAGCTCTATGAGAGCAGGACCCCTGTCCGTCTTCCTCCCCAGTATATCCTCAGCACCTAGCACAAGGCCTGATCTGTGCTTGTGTTCATCATACACAGAAGTTGATGGATAGATGGACAGATGGACGGATGGATTGATAGGTAAGAGACTCAGATGAACATTATCAAATTATCGATCAGAGTCGATTTGTTTTTTTTTCCCCCAGTGATAAAACATTTGGGCACTTATCCTGAAGAAAGTGTTGAAATTGTTCTTTTAGAATGGAAGGGAAAAGCTACTGAAGGTTCTATTTGCCCTTTAGATAACAGGCATTCCAAAGTATCTTGGCTTTTTTTTCCTCCCTACTGTGTAAAAAGTTTTTTAATGAGCTTTCATGCCTTACGTAGCAAATGACCTTTTCTAGAGCCACCTACACCAAACAAAGGAATTGGAGGGTTGGTATGGTTCTGCCCTTGGAAACACAGGATCAGCCCTTTGAAACAATGGCTCCTATCTGTGAGTGACCTTCCCCTCTTAGGGAAGGGCCAGATTTCAGATTTCAACATCCTGGTGTTGAGACAATGGAGTTACTGGAGCAGGGACAACAGACACAGCCCCATTGCTTATTGGACCAACAGGACTTGCCTGATGTGGGCCCAGCGGACGTAGTCTCGTGGTTGCTGGGTTGTAGTGCCTCCTTCCATTCATAAATAGTGCCATTCAGGTTTGATTGTTTTCTCATACAGCTTGTTCCTGATTATAGTGAAAGTTACGTTTTCTCAAAACAGCAGCCTACTGGATAGGTGCTAGAGTTGGGTCAGCCTCACCTAAGTCTGACTGTGGAGTACCAGAATGCATGATCCTCAGCCTATGAAGAGGGGATATTTTCTCTGAATGAAAACAAAATCACCTCTCTCCTTGCATTTCTCATGGGAGGAGGAGGATTCTGAGATTAATTGAAAGTGGATAGGTAGTAACATATTTTATTCTTGGAGCTATACGTCAGTCTATTGCTTGCTCAGAGACTTACCGTGGCTCCCACCTGCCAAGCAGCTCGGATGTAAGGCCCTCCAATTCTGGTCCAGACTTCCTTCCTGGTCTTATTGCTCGTGACTCTCTTTTGCATCCTGCTCACTCCAGCCGTATCAGGCTCCTTGCCATCAAGTAAATATGCCCTTCACTTTCTAACTCCCATTCTTTCCACATACTTTCCCTCTAGCTAGATTCCACCCCTAACCCCCACCCTTTAACTGCTACCAGTTAAAATCCTACCCCTTCTCGCAGGTTCCTGTCAAAGGCTCTGCTTCTGTAGGAATTCTTCCCGGATCATCCCAGGTAGAATTTAATTTTTGGCTTTTGTAAATATCTATTGAATTTATCTGTACAGCTTTCAAGGCACTATGTTATAGGCTTGTATATGTGTGTATGTGTGTTTTCCTTCCTTATATACTTGTCTCATAGCTGTCTGTGGAGGCCATGGACTACCTTGTTTATCTTTGTCTCTCCCAGAGGTCTTTGGCCATAGTAGGCCCTCAATATTCATTTTTTGGATGAATGAATTAATAAAAACAATCCAGCTTATGTCCTCAAAATTCATGAAGAAAGTACATTTATCTAATTGTCCAAACTCCCTTGTTTAAACTTTATGCTTTGAGCTAAACTAAGCCCTACCTGGTCCTCTTCGAAGGTAACCTTGAAGGTAATCTTGAAGAGATTACTTTGCTCTGTGTGTGTGTGTGTGTGTGTCTGTGTGTGTGAGAGAGAGAGAGACAGAGAGACAGAGAGAAAAGTTTATTAATCTACTTG